GCCCACCCCGCGATGGAAGCGGCCCGGGGGGAGAGGAGCGGCGGCCAGCTCATCCTGTAAGTGACCTGAAAGCCGTGAGCCAGGACTGCTGCAGGCGCGGGGCCCCCCGAAATCCCGTCCCCGCAAACGCTCACGAGGCATCGGGGAGGAGAGCCAGACCTGAGCCTCCCGCGCGAGCCGGGACCGGGGAAGCGCCCTGACCGTCGGCGCCTGGGCTCCGAGCGCCAGCAACGCAAACCCGCCCCGAGGGCGCGTCCTGCGCCCGGTGCCGGAGGACCCGAGCCAACGCAAGTTCACAATTTTAAAAAATCAGCGAGCACAAAGGCCCCACGTGAGTGTCAGCCAGCAGAGCTAATCCCAACAGATTTAGACACACACACACGCACACACTCCAAGGACATCGAATATTAGGATTGTCTAACACAGAATACAGGAGTTTTGTGGGGTTTTTAATTTTAAAGAAGAAAAAAGGGGGACTCGCTAGAAAGCCCCTATTACAGTAGAGATAGAGCACCACTGACATTGGAGAAATCTGGACAATACCACCTTTGCCAAGCACTCAACATGCATTTAACAATAGTACAACTTGGCATGACACACGAGGTGATGCTCTGAGGACATGACATCACCTTTATTGTATTCCTGCCAAAAATACACAATTTGAATTTAATCATGAGGTAACAGTCAGACAAGCCCAAATTAAGGGATATTCTACAAAATGTCAATGTCATGAAAGACAAGGAAAGACGAGGAACTGTTTCAGATTAAAGGGCACTAAGGAGTTTTGACATCTAAATCCCTGCTTTGGGAAGAAAAAAAAATGCTCCAAAGTTTTGAGACAACTGGCAATGAATATGTACAGTGTGGTAGATTAAAAATAGCCCCGAATTCTTTGACATTCCTCTCACTGAAAAATGGGGATATATTCCCCTTCTGTTTAAATCTGAGCTGGCCTGTGACTGCTGCGATGAATGAAGTCAAGTGGAAGTGAAGCTATGCCAGTTCTGAGCCTGACCTTTAAAAAGCCGCTTCTGCTTCCTCTTTCACTCTATTCTGTCAAAGCCGTCACAGGACAGGCCGGATTTAAAGGGGAAATATGTCCCCATTTCTTAGTGAGACAAGTGCCAAAGAATTCAAGGCTATTTTTAATCTACCACACTGTACATTCTCAATTCCAGTTGTCTCAATGGCATACTTTATAGCAATTCTTTTCCGATGTAAGACCACACATAAAGGAATGTCCTTAATCTCTATTATGGGCTGAATTGTATCTCCCAACCACCCGCATTCATATGTTGAGGTCCTAACTCCCAGTACTTCGGAATGTGACTCTAGTTGAAAATTGGGCCTTTAAAGAGGTATATGAGTTAAAAGAGTAGACCCTAATCCAAAAATGGCTGGTGTCTTTATAAAGAAAAGGAGATTAGGACACAGACAACAGAGACAGAGGATGACCATGGGGGACGTAAAGAGAAGGTGGCCACTTGCAAACCAAGAATGGCCCCATAAGAAATCAAATCTGCTGACAACTTCATCTTGGACTTCTAGCCTCCAGAATCATGAAGGGCAGAAATCCCTCTGTTGTTTAAGCCACCCAGTCTGTGGTATTTTGTTATGTCGGCCTTAGCAAACTAATGCAGTCTCTTTTAATCTGAAATAGCTTGTCTTCTCTTTTCTTTCATGACACTAACATTTTTGAAGTGTACAGGCCAGTTCTATAGAGTATTTCTTACTTTGGGCTTGTCTGATTGTTTCCTCGTGATTAAATTCCAATTATGCATTTTGGGCAGAAATATGATAAAGGTGGTATTAAGGTCTCAGGATGTCATCTTATGTGGGATGTCAATTTGTATTATTGGTGATCTCAAGAATCACTTGTTCTTGGAACCCTGAGCCACCATGTAAGAAGCCCAGCTACCCTGACTGCCACGCTATGAGAAAGCCCACGCTAGTCATGTGGAAAAGCCAAGAGATGCCCAGCCACCTCCCAACTGTTCCAGTTCCCAGTCACTCAGAGTCACCCCCAGCTGAGGCTTCAGATATCAGAGAAGAGACACCATGAGCCCTCCCCGCTGTGCCATACTTAATTCCTGGCCCACAGAATCATCAGACTTATTGTATTCAGTCTCTCAGTTTGGGGTCATTTGCTACATAGCAATAGATAAAGCAGACTGTATATTATATGATAATATTCTATCAATGTTAAATTTTTTGAATTTGATTGTTGTATTGCAGTTAATAGAAAAGTGATTTATTATTAAGAATTATTTAATGAAGTATTATGATGTTTGCAGTTTCTCCCAAAAGGTTAATTTAAAATGTGTGTGTGTGTGTGTGTGTGTGTGTGTGAGAGAGAGAGAGAGAGAGAGAGAGAGAAAATGTAGCAAAATGTTTACATTTGATGAATCTAGACAAAGTATATACAGGGGTTCCTTGAATAATTTTTACATGTTTTCTAAGCCTTGATATTTTTTTTAAGTTGAAATAAAAAAGAGAGAAAGGATTAAATCTCAAAGAGGAAAAATCAAGATGAAGTAACAAAAACCAAATGTACCATCCCATCTAAGGCATCTGAAAAAAAAAAGACAAAATATATAAAACAACAGTTTTCAAGATGTTCTACATCAGGCAACTAAGAACAGTGATCTCCAAGAAACAGGAGAAAAAGTAGGTGAGTCCTACAATTGCCCCAGCTTACTACTTGAGAGAGTTTCCAAGCCATGGCAGAGAGAGAGAGGAAATCCTGAGACAGAGCCTGGCTGACTCCCTAATTTGAGAAGGCCAAGCCTAGATTCCAGGGAGACTAAAGCAGCTAGAGTTTACAGGACAGAATAACAGAAAGAAGACAGATGCACAGACACAGAATACTAGAGATCTGCAAAGAGTCCTCTCTCAGGTATTCATGATCAATGCATGCATGTAAGGAAACTGTTCTAGACCAGGGAAAGAACCATCTATAAGGATTAGAGGGGAAGTTCCTGTCACTCATGCTGAACTTGTAATAGTGCTTATTTCCACCAACCAGACTGGAAAAAGTCATGATTCGCAAGGCATTGGGTAGAGTATTCAGGAAAGGCTTTCCTCGCTAGTAGAGAAAAATTAGCCCTCCAAGGAGTACTCCTCCATCTCTGCCTACCATATTGTAAAAACAAGACCCAAGAGAACTTAAGTGCCTCCCAGAATCAGTTCAAGAAGATTTATAGAGCTACAAAAATATCCAGCACCCAACAAGGTAAAGTTCACAATGTCTGGCATCCAAACAAAGGTTACCAGGTGTACAAAGAAGCAGGAAAACACAACTGACAAATAATCAGTCAAAAGTGGCCAGGAACTGACATAGATGTTACAAATAACAGAGAAGAACATTAAGACAGTTACTATAGTGGTATTACATACATTAAAATGTTAGAGACATGAAAGATATAAAGAAAGACCCAAATTGAACTTTTAGAGAT